ATACACACGTTGATCGTGTTTACAATCTTTAGGGTTACTTATCGCTTTTTGTCCTTCTTATAGAATTGATTAGTTATTACTTTATAAATAGATTATATATTATTATTTCCATTTGCTTTAGTTATCGATGTGGTTGTCGTTGTCGTCATTAGAACGATTAGATCGCAACCCGATATGTTTGGCGGTGCGGACAGATTGTTTACAACCGTATATTGATGGTATTATGGTATTGTAAGATTCCTTCAATATGATTTGTTATAATATAGCTAGTATCCGTTGTGAGACAGCTATATATAACTTGTATAACTGCCTTTGTATTAGGGCAATAATGTTAGTTTTATATATAGAATGACTAGCCTTTTTATAATCTGTTCAATTTGACTAGTATAAAAACAGAATTAATGTATTTCTTAGCATCCAAACTAACCAAGAACTTCTTAATCACATTATTCAATTTGGATATTATTAAACCTCAATCTTTAATTAGATGATTAGATATATGATTTGATTCAAATCTCAAATTCAATTAATCTATTAATATCCAAATTATACAAGCAAAAGGAGCCTTTTATTGAATAACTTGACTAACAAATATTAAAAAGATCTAAGTTCTAAAGCTTTTCAATAATTATATATAGTTTGTGTAACTAGTATAACTGATTACAAATCAATGATTTGGTGGAGAGGATAAGTTCACTTTAAGGATAAAATATAAGCTCTTCAAAATCTAGCTTTCCGAAAGATACTAGGAGTTTTCAAAACCGTTCTAATTCTTTTAATAGAAATCGAATCGGGATAAAACCAATAAATATCCGATTAGACTCAAATATCAAGCAATACGCTTTTCGATTAATAAAACTCTTATTCAAATATCCAATCAATATCGAAAAAGCTATTTTAGCATACCAATACATTAATCGGGAAGTGATTAACACTCTTCAAAGAAAGCTATACAAGCTAATTCAACTCGATAGAATTAGGGAATCAATTGATAAAGAATTTGATTCATTCTCTTTTGAAATTCGATCGCGACGATCACGCCGCTGAAATAGTTCCTTATCTTAGCACGTCTAAATACCCTTAGGGAGGTCCAAAACAGACGTTAATTAATATAAATAAATAAATAAAATAAATTCTCTTTTGAAAAGATTATCTATTTTCACTTCCCTTTATGGAAAAAGGAAATCCCTTTCAAAGTTAATATTAGTTAGGCTTCAAAAGAAAATGTAGTAATACTCCACAATATTATTCTTAAATACAAAGATCAAAATACTATTTACATTTATACAGATACCTTTTCCACTAAAAAGGGAATAGGTATTGGTATAGGGATAGTATCAATATAATCGAATGATTAGATTTTATATCAAGAATAAATCAAATATTAAAAGCAATCAACTAGTTTATAATAAAGAGCTATATAGAGTTATCCAAGCTATCGAATATACTAGTTCAATTACTAATAGTAAAAAGAAGTTTAAGGTTTATTTAGATAATCAAATAGATCTTTTTTGATTGAAAACACTCTCAGATTATTTAGGATAAGTATATCAATTCGAGTAATCAAGATAGCCAAAGCTATTATAACTAAAGGATCTGAAATATCCTTGAATTGAATATCAGGGCATATATTAGTTAAAGAGAACAAATTAGTAGATAAGCTAGCAAAAGAGATTACTATAATATAATCCATTTCAAATAAAACCAGTTTCGGATTGTTAGGAATAATAATCAAAAATTCTCTTTTGATTAATAGAGTTCAATTCTCAATCAATATAAACTTAGATCCAATCAATCGGCATTAATTTATTCAAAGCTATTTCTATGGAAAATCGGATCGAAAATTAAGCTACTAATTAAAACCAGTCAAAATACTATTAGTGCATTTTTCCAATTAAAATTAGGTTATGGATATATCAAATTATATCTATATCGATTCAATTATTTCAATAATAAATGTATATATGGTAATATTGAGATACTGCAATACTTTCTGATTAGTTGTTCTATATACAAAACAGAAAGAAAAGAGATATTCCAGAATATATTATTATCGAAAATCATTATACATCTCTATTATATATTAAAATAGATATCGAATTAGCTATCAAATTTATCAATATTATCAAAATCGCTATAAGAATATAGCATCTAGCAAGGATTTTTGAATAAGAAGTAATAGAGGAAGGAATAATAATGGAAGAGGAGAGAGGAGAAGATAATAAAGAAGAAATAGTTAAGGAAATAAAAGAGGGGCTTGATCTTCTCATAATTTTTTGATTATCAGAATTTTCTTATTATATATAATATATATAATGAGCGGGCACTATTTCTTAATATTTGTTTTTATTTTCTTAATAAGAGTCATAACTAATATTATAAATCAAAAAGTTATCTATTGGGCCTATTGGGCCTAGCCGTCCTATATAGTCTAAGACTGAAGGTGGACGTAAATTCAATCAATCAATCAATCAATCAATCAATCCAAGCACCGCCGTCAGCCATCAACATCCCAATTCATATGTCACACACCGCATCAGGGAAGATAATGTCTCACACAACTTCCAACAAATAGCGAAGAACGCTTTCGGTAGTGGCACTTCTTTGACCGTATCCTCAACGGACTTTGAGACGGTTAAGTATGTGTTCACGATACCGAAAAAGAATACCAGAAGTCTATTCTTATGGAACAGCACTAAGATCTAGACTAAGTACATCATGCAAGGTATCATTCACTTCTTCTCAAACTTACGTACTGCACTATGGCGCTGAACCTCCACTGATTCTTGTCGGTCCACAAGCCGATCCAACCCCCTCAAGAGACCGATGTTCTATCTATAAATACGCATTCCTTTCCACAAATCCACGACAGCAAATGTAAAAACTTGTCAGATGTTCCTAGCCTTTCGAAATGGTCACAAAAAGACCAAGTAACTCGACGATGTAACATGCCACAAGTTGAGTCATTATCTGATAGGAGATATGGCGTCCACCAGCTTTCTTAAGATATCGTGCACTTGATATCAACACCAATCTTGTTAATTTTACTGTCCTGCTCGACGTTGACCCAGATTTGTTTGATTATCGCTTCTGCTGTAACTTCTATCGTTGCCATCCTTTTCATTGTGAATTATACTGGATTGGAAAGAAATTCTACCTCTTTCTCAACAATTAACCCATCAATGTGGACAGATTGAAATAAATAGCATGGCTAGGCACGGGAACTACCAGTCTTTCACAAGCGTCCTGGACCTCTCTTTTCTTGGGACATTCACAATGTCTAGAGAATATCGACAATTTTACTTATTCCTCCAGCAAAAACTAAATCTTCAAAAGTTAACACACTTTACCGCCATTATCAGCCACAAGCACAACATAATCCTTCTCCAGAAAACAAGGCAGATTCGCGAGATTTCGGGGTACTCTTCAAGTGGCTGGGGCAGGGTCCAGAAAATGGAGATGCGGGAAGTATTCTCTTGACGGAGCAAGCGTACCCTTATACTCCGCAGACAATGTTTCAGCACGAATGAAGCTACTGCGTCCAAGGAACTTTACTCCTAAAAGCTAGAGTTCGTGGGCTAGAGAAATAGTAAACTTTGAGCTGTTTTTCCTCAAGAATTCGTTGGGAAACTTTTTCAACGAGAAACTGTAAACGAGAGACACGGGAGGAGGATGGCACTTTATTTTAAGTCCAGCGAAGCCAGCCTTTGTAAGTTGTGAGGCGAAAGAATGCATTGATGCTCAGACGCGGTTCTGGGAAACCAATTCGGTCTGGGTCTCGATGTCAAGACTCTATATTATGGGACTGCAGGTAGATAGTGGTATGATACGAACTGTGTCGTCTGATTCATTGCCACCGAAAGAAAATTCGGTCATGAAGTGGTAACCTTTGTATGAAACCGAAGAAGTTAGCATTCAAGCTCAAGTCATTTGATATGATCAGTATGCTTTACTATCATTGATATGGATTTTAAATCAGTGGTTGATGAGTCTTGCTCTAAAAGTGCTGTGCGGACGCGCTAGTAAAGTCACAAAGTGATTAGGAACTCAATGCAGCATGCTTTTGGGCATATTGGACTTGAGTAATAAATTTTAAAGAGATCTTCTCAAGAATATAACCCACTGGTTCTCAGTATTTTATGCAAACTTCAAACAACGAATGCTGGATAGGTGGTATAGCATTGGGGTCAATCAAAAACACAATGGCACGAAAGTCCAAAACCCATATCTTTGCCCATGGGAGGACACAAAACCACAAAACCACGAACTGCTAGAAAACTAGACCGTCAATGTGGTTGACGATTCGCACAGTCTACCGATATCTACCTTGATGTCCACGAGACAGCAATGCGAGAATTGATGACGGAGCCAAAGATCTTGCGACTTCTGCGGAGCCACACAGCTTTTTGTCAAACTCAAGACCAGCCTGCAATGATGCAGAGAACTCTAGAGGCGACTCGAGAAAAGTCCTGAAATTACCACCTAGAGAGACTAGATAACATGGAGGTAGGTGTGCGTTGAGCGGCAGCAACATTGAAGACTGCACTTTGAAGTAGTTCTGCAACACAGAGAAGAGAGGGAACTGAGCGAAACATATGTTGAAGCGTGTAATACATCCACCAAAATGCAGCAGTTGCACATTCGGTATTGCATCCAGCAACATTGTTGAGATAGTGTCTGGCTTCAAAGGAAAGCCATAACAAAAGAGAGACCAGCATGGATTGAAGACTGAAACCAAGATCATGGACAGTTGTCTCCGAGGACCATTCCCATTCCCATTCCCATGAACCATTCTCATATCACATTGAAGGTGATTATCTCGGCGCCGAGAAGTACTAAGGTTTTCTCCCACAGATAAATTTCCAAATCAGTTCCAGAAATGTTCTTCCAAAAACAATCTCAGATCAACAACCTTTAACAAACTCAATTGGACTCTTTTCACATCCATTCCTTACCAATACCTCTCACCACATTATATCAAAGTCACGTATAAAACCATCATGAGTGCTCCAAATGAATTTCTTTGGTTGGGTAAACTCTTTTTGTTCAGATTAAACAACAAAGTCGTTGACACCTATGAATCTTGTAAGAAGAAGATTTTGGAGAAGGTCAACAACAAGAAAGTCAAGAAGGTTGACGTTGAAGAGGTTGAGGTTCAAGAGCCAACCACAATCATTCATGTAAGAATGCAGATTACTAAGACAACCTGTCCAATTTGTGGAGATCGTTTTCAAGTTTTGGCTCATTTTCGGGAGCGACTCCAAGCAACCGGCGGAGCGGAAAATTAGCGTCTTGGCTAAATATTACCGATCAACCCTCACGACCTCATCATCACCACCATCGCATCAACAACTCCACCAGCACTCTCTCTTTTTCTCGCAAATCGTCACATCGCAGTTCGTTTTTTCAATTCTCGCGAGTTTTTCGAAAATGTCTTTTACACGCGCCATTCCTCGCGCTACCAGCACCATCGTCCGCACACAATCAGCAGTTCTCAACCAAGCACGAAATTTGTCTATCACCGCAGCCCGAAAGTCAGCAGATCATGGTGACCACTATGAGCCACCGAGCGGATGGTTATTTGGAGTGAAACCTGGAGAGAAGGCCGAGAAAGAGGGATGGGAAAATTTATGGGTGTACGGGTTTTTTGGAACTTGTGCTTTTGGAATTGTGGGTTATGCGGTTAAGCCAGATACCTCGTAGGTTTTTAATTTCTTCATTTCTGGGGGATCTTAGTATGGGTGAAAGTTTGAAGGTGAAATGGTTGATTTTGGGAAAATTTGGTATGGACTGAAAGACCAGGGATTTTAAGAAGAGGGGTGGAGGGGTTGTGGCAAGAATGGAGCGAGGGAAATTGAGAACATGGGCTTCTACAGATACATGATCATACACAAAATACAAACAGCCGCTAATTATCATTCACAGGATACAAACATGGGCATTAGAAGAAGCACGCAGAAGGTTAGAAGCCGAGGGGATCTTGAAGGAGCCAGAAGACAAATCATAAACCATTATACTATTGGGCACGCAAGTTACAATGGAGAATCTGGAACTGGATGGAGCGCTCAAGGACGAAGACTGATGGAGCAGGGGAGTTGTACATACGAAGGACTGATGATGGAAGGCTATGAACATCTTGCGCAGAATTCCAAGATGTACGGGTTGCACGGAATATTATGCGTGCTAATAGAGCGAAGGAATATTATTGAGTTTCTTTTCTTTTCTTTCCTAAGGAACTTGGCACCAACATGAACTTACTGTGAATTTCGTTCGGCATGTGGTGAATAAAAAGTGAAAATTCTGGAACTCGATGAAAGACCCGCGTACCGCTCTTAAGGGTAGGATTGTTATCTGGTCATCATTGGATCTGATGACTCTTCAACCTCGATCATGTTTCCATTCGTCTGTTCAAACTCCGGCACAAGAATGCATTTCACAATGTGAATGTGAATTTGAAAGTTCAAAGTATGACTAATATATATCCCATTTTTCGCTTTTCCATTCATCCGGCTCTATGAATACATAGGTATACATATACAGCTCGTTAATTAGGTACAACATAACTCCACTCATGCTCTTCATCACCATATTGTCTAGCCTCGATCCATTCCTTCATCTTCAATGCGATCTCACCAGCTTCTTGATCTGGCCTCAATCCACACTCGACCAAATTGCCCTTCCATGAGATGTTCCTCACTGGACTGACGACTGCTGCGGTTCCTGCCCCAAACGCCTCTAATAATCTACCTTCTTTTGATGCATCTGCTAACTCACTCATAGTGTATTTACGTTCAGAAATAATCCATCCATCCTTAGTCAGCTTCTCGCGGGCTAAAGATAGAACAGAGTCTCTTGTGACACCTTCCAGAATAGTACCGTCTAATGGAGCGGTAACCAATTCCTTTTGACCTTCTTTATTCTTAATAGCCACAAACATGTTCATAGTTCCAACCTCGGTAACATACTCCTCCTCGCCGAACAACCATAAGTTTTGGTGGAACCCCCTCTTGGCGGCCTCTATTTGTGGCAAGATACATGGAGCATAGTTCGCACCCAATTTCTTGTCTCCAACTCCTCCAGGCCATGCCCTTACGGCATAATCTGTAGCTTCTAAGGACACAGCCTTGAATCCAGTAGGGTAATATGGCCCGACGGGAGAAGCAATAACATATAGTAAAGCGGAACCTGGTGGTCCAACACCTAATGTTCTTTGTGTTCCAATCATAGTCGGTCTCAGGTATAATGAATATCCTCTTTCTTCTGGAATGAATCGTTTCTCCATAGCAACGAATTTTGAGATCAATTCAATCATGGCGGATTGATCAAAAGTCGGCAGAGCAATACGAGCGGAGGATTTGTTCATTCGTTCCATATTCTTGGTAGGTCTGAAGAGCCGTACCTTTCCGCTTTTATCCTTGTATGCCTTCATGCCTTCGAAACACTCAAACGCATAGTGGAAAACGCAGGACGCGGGATCGAGGGAAAGGTTTTGGTAAGGAGTTATGCGTGCGGGTAACCATCCATCTGAAGCTGTCCATTCAATGCTAAGCATATGATCTATGGGCGGTCAGCAATGGGTAATTTTGTGAGATCTCCGAGGAGCTTGCCTGTAAACGATCTTCCAAATACCAATTCATTTGGGGGAAGTAGTTCATTAGGAGTAGTGTTTTTCGTTATAGTCAATTTGGTAGGGTCGATGTCTTGTAGCTTCGTCGTAGAAGCAGCTTCTGCTTGTATGCTGTATAATCTCGAAGAAGCCTCCCATCGCCTCAACACTCTTGAGCTCGGCTTTGCGAAAGCTGCCCCTCTTGGGAACAATTGACGAAGCATTTTGATCAATTTCAAAGAATAAAAAGTTGGGATGAACTTCGAAATGTGAATTGGGAAACTTGAGCTTCTTAAATGAGTAAGATCCCACCTATGCTTTGAAATGGTCCTCGGAGTCAGTCATTCAATCCTCAATGTCCAAAATAAATTTAGATGCTGTGACCACTTCCCGGCTCCGAATCGCGGAGTGCCAGCATAATCTTGTCCCATCAGATTGCAAGGATTAAAAAGATAACATTTAAATCTTATGCAGACTTATGTAAGCAATATGTCCCTGAAATCACAAGCTTAACACTCGTTGTGAGAGGTCGAATTCCAGAATAGATGTCCCTTTATTATTTTGACAAGGCTTACGATTTTTGTACACCCAGAGGGAGGAAACGGTTGCGAGACCACAACGAAATCATTCCACCGTCTATGAAAAGTCCAAGGGAAAATCAACAACAGTCACTTTAACGAGATCATACCAGTCAAGATAAGCTTCCTAACAATATAATTATCAAGGGTTTAAGGTTTATGCGCCAGAAGTTCGGACAATCCTTTGATACTCTAGTGTTGGTGGGAGGAGAGCTGCGAAGATGTTCAGTTCCGCGTTGAAGTCCTTCACCTCGAATATCAACTCGAACTACTCAGTCTCGTCCACACCCAGTTCATACTCAGGACCATGGAAAATATACGATGCGAAGAAGAAATCGACAGGAAAGACTGCTTCAGTCTTTGTCCTCGATCGCAAAGCCTTAGACGCACATGCAGGATCCTTGGGGCGATCGAGTGCTACCTCGATGAAGCGTGCGACTGAGGAGGTAATTGAAAGATTGAAGAAAGAAGCATCGTCTTTGGCAAGGCTGCGGCATCCTAGTATTCTGGAACTGGTAGAGCCGGTGGAAGAATTGAGGGGTGGAGGATTACAATTTGCGACGGAAACCGTAACGGCCTCGTTATCTGGCCTACTGCAGGAAAAAGATGAACAAGAAAGAGCTGGTGGGATTGGCGGACGCTCAAGTCGATATGTCACAGAGGATTCGGAAGGTGGCAGAAGGAGGAAAGAGGTTGAGATAGACGAATTGGAAATACAAAAGGGTCTTCTGCAGATCAGCAAAGCATTGGAGTTTTTACACGATAATGCTGGCCTCGTGCATGGGAACCTGACTCCTGATGCTGTGTTTGTGAATGCTAAGGTGGGTTTCTTAAGCATGTTTGCATATGCTGCGACTAATTATTGTAGTCTGATTGGAAACTTAGTGGACTCAGCTTTTGCAGTCCGCCAGACAATTCGACTAAAGCATCTTCAGTGCAACCGATTAATCTCTCTGAGGTTCTGAACATCGATCCTCGACTACCTCGTTCTGTCCAGATCAACCTCGACTACTGTTCCCCAGATTTTGTCCTAGACTCGAATTTAAATGTTTCAGCAGATATGTTCTCACTGGGTCTTCTCATTGTCGCTCTCTATAATTCACCTCATACATCACCACTGGAGTCCAACAATAGCGTATCTGGCTACAAAAGACTATTTACCTCATCTTCCACCATCCCTTCATCTAGCAATACCTTCTTATGTAAAAAGCCATTGCCGAGAGATATGACTGGAGAGGTACTACCGCGATTGATCACTAGACGTCCAGCACAACGTATGACCGCGAAAGAGTTTCAGGACAGCGCTTATTTTAATAACATTTTGATATCTACAATTCGATTCTTGGACTCTCTACCAGCCAAAACTCCTAACGAGAAGGCCCAATTCATGCGTGGTTTGTCCAGGGTGTTACCATCATTCCCAAAGAGTGTCATGGAAAAAAAGGTTTTACCGGCTTTGTTAGAAGAAATGAAGGACCGAGAACTGATATCATTAATTTTACAAAATATCTTCAAAATAATCGAATTATTACCCTCCGGAAGAAGGCCTTTTACCGAAAAGATCATGCCTAGGCTTAAGGAGATATTTTTGAATAACCCCAAACCTCCTACCGAGCGTGATGCTGCAAAGGAAGCTGGGTTGATGGTATTGTTGGAGCATATTCAAGTAATATCAGTCAATTGTTCGGGTAAAGAGTTTAAAGATGGTAAGATATTCGCCAAAGATCAGATGTATTGTGCTAATTGCCTTAGATATCTTGCCCATTGTAGCAATATCGATAGATTCGCCAACGCATGCACTTGTAGACGCTGCTTTACGAAGCTTGAATGTAGTTCTTCCTATCCTTGATTTTTCTACTATCAAGAATGAACTTTTCCCAGTCATCTCTTCGGTGTTCGCAAAGACCAGCAGTCTAGGAATAAAGGTCCGAGGGCTAGAGGCTTTTGTGGTTCTTTGTGGTGGCTCAAATGATCCAACTTCTAGCAATGATGGTCTGGATGGCATCGGGGGTGCCAAGAAAAACACATCTACCCCCCTTGACAAATATACCATGCAGGAGAAAATAATACCTTTGATTAGGGCAATCAAGACGAAAGAACCTGCTGTTGCAGTCGCTGCTTTAAACGTTCTTAGACAGATAGGTACGATAGCCGACGCAGAATTCGTTGCCATGGATATTCTCCCGATATTATGGAATATGAGTTTGGGGCCACTCCTGAATTTGCAGCAATTCCAATCTTTCATGGAACTCATCAAAAGCCTATCTGTTCGAGTCGAATCTGAGCAAACAAAGAAGTTGCAAGAGCTTTCCGGCAGTAACGGTGCAGGTGTAAGGGCAAACGGTACCGATGATTTCATGTCGTTTGGCGCCGCTTCGGCTTTCCCACCCGCCGTGGGATCGGATGATCCCGAAATGGATTTCGAACGACTTGTTAAAGGCGGAACTGGTGCACCTTCATCAAACAACGCCTTAGACTCCAGTTGGGATTCTAATCCTACAAGCCCCCACGCTCAACAAGCACAGTCGGCGCAACCAAAACCATCTTTTGCTTGGTCTACCCCATCGCCAACAGCGCCTACATACCCTTCCAACTCAATTAATAATGTCCTTCGGCCACAACAAGCAACATCACGAACGGTCACTCCAGACTTCTCAAGCTTTGGTGCTTTAATACCATCAGCTACTCAGTTCTCACAACCGCTTCAGCCGCAATCTAATTACTCAAATCCCATACAACCACAATCTTCATTCTCTCATCCCCAGCCTTCCTTCTCACAACCTCAATCCGCGTTCCCTCCGCCCAAACCTTCAACCTCAACTTTGAACTGGAATAGTGCAGCCGCATCCTCAACTCCCAACCCATGGGGCTCTACACCTACAACCTCGACTTTATCACCCATCTCACCCCCTCCTTTAAATTCCTCCTTCTCTTCAATGAGCAACTCAATGTCTTCACTTTCTATGAACCAAATGAATCAAGCCAGGCCCGCCTTGAACAGTTCTCAAAGCGCCTCGAGTGCGTTCTCAAGTTTTTCATTGCCTCCACCACCCAGTGCGGGGACTGGGGGTGCAGGTAACTACAGTGCATTTGGGAGTACTAGTGGAAGTGGGCTGGGAAGTGGTGGAATGGGAATGGGAATGGGACAGCAAAGGCCGGTTGTGCAGCAGCAGCAGCAACCACAGAAGAAGAGCGGCTTGGATGCATACGAGAGTTTATTGTGAGGCGGCGCGACTTCATATCGGATACGGGGTGAGAAGTGAAATTTACGGAGGCATGTGATCAAACAGGGATCTGCAATCAGAAGATATATATTGGGAACAGGATGCCAAACGGGAATGGACGGCTCGCGTGAAAATGGTTGATGGGAAGTTTGGAAGCGCCTGACAACTGGGTGCCGGTGGAGTTACGAGTATAATAGTAAATATATACCTAGCGGGCAGGAAAATGGATAGACATCGAGCGAGCGTGAAGTTGTTTCGGCGAGCCTTAGTCAAATATCTCATTCTTTTGAGTAATGTGAAATTTCGTGATATGTATTCTGTTTACATCAAATGATATCTCTTGAATCTTAAATTGTTTGTAATGCCTTCTAAATGTTTCCTGCGCTTCTATTCAAATGACATAGACTTGTACACCTGTACAAGGATAAAATGGCCCACTCATTTTTTTTATTCTCCATCCCACCTTCACAACCGGGCGAACGGATCTATAGTCCCTTCTCTGCGCGCATCTTTCTGAAGAAATCTGTTACTCCTGTGAACACGACGAGTAGAATACCTCCACCAGGTCCCAATCTTAGAACCTTAGGTAAGAATCCCTTGTATAATGCTGCGAAACCTTCCTCCTTCATGACCGTACCGAGAGCTGGCCAAGCCCAGTTGTATTTCGGTGCTAATCCGGCAACCTTGGGACTATTTTGAATACGCGATTTAACGACATCCATTGGTGTGTTGAGGATTGTACCGGTGGTACCACCGATTGCTCCGGAAATCATGTTGACCATCATTTCTTGCTTCTTACTGTCGGGCTTGGGCATCAATGCCTTGACTTGGAAGATACATCCAAAGTATCCGGCGTTCCATAAGATATGCCTCCACATTGTACTTTCCAATCCGTTGTAAAGAGCTAATGGACCCTCGGCCTTTACAATCTTGGTAACACAATCAACCATTCCACTGTATTTTCCGGCAGAGGCGCGATCTTGTAGACGGATCTTGACGAGCTCGAAGGGGACGACTACGAAGGATTCAGTAGCTCCGGCGGTAGCTCCAGTGAGAATGGAGAGGGATTGGTTCATTTTGGCGACACCGAATATATCACGGTAGAACTTTCCCCAGGATTCGTTGGCTGCAAATTTAGTGGCACGTTTAGGAGCCTCCATTAGAATTGGGGCTTCGATTCCGCGGTATAGTCGTGAGACACTTTGAATGAGACATCAGCGCCCATCTTGAGATTGATGGGTTAGTATTACTGGGGAGTTTATACCCTTCATTCTTTATGATCTTTCTGAAGCAATCCACCATGCCATTGTAGCCATCTGGCCCCGCGGAGCTGGTCTGCAATTGTCTATCCTTCCGTTAACGTTCTTTCTGACATCTACTTAATGTACTGGCGCAGAGGGACTCAAAACTTACACTCTAGTCTTACGACATCTAACGGGTACCTGCACGAGTCAGTATGATGCAGTAGCAAATGCTTGTCTTATGTTGAGGGGCACTTGCATAATAAGAATCTATCGCAATGGCACATAATTTAGTTACGTGGTTCTATAAGTTTCGTATGATATGCAACAGAGAGAACTTACTTCAGATACACCGGCGATCGCACCTATATTGTCTTTGTGAGTCTCAATTTCATGATCTGGGGTGAGGGGTAAAACGTACCAGCAGCGAACTGGTAAACGAAGGGAAGAGGCTTTTCGGTCGACATGATCGCGATTGGGACTATTAAATGGTTAGAAATGAGTACAATGCCCTTTGTAGAGAGTTGTGTCGAATTTGATGAGTTATTAGTACAACATACCTTGATCTAATTACCTATTATCTGAGCTGAGCTGTCGCTGTTGAGAAATTATTTTGATCTCGTGTAATCTGTGTGATGACAATCTTATCAACCCCAGGGGTTCTAAGCTCTTCCGCTGCTTCTCCACCTTTAGCCGATAGTCGGAGGATCAAAGATAAAATCACCGAATGGTGTGAAGACAGGGGTGGAATGATAAACGGTTCAAAACACGCGCTAGGACTAGTAATATACACATAAAAATGGAAAGCGCGTCTCTAAATCGCGTAGTCGCGTAATCTACTCCACAAAGTGCAAGAACTATCAATCAATACACATCCCAGCTACATTTAACACTTTACAAATTGCTTTATGATTCAGATTACTTTTCATATTGCTATATTTCCATAACATAACATCATCTTTCATGTACTCTAGTACCAATTCGTATTTTGTGAAGATATAATGCCTCTTCAGAAGTCCTTCTCTGAGACTAATCATTCAGGAAAAGAGAACCACGTATGTATACATTCTACTGACTGTGGAATTACACTACAAACATATGATCATTATATGAACTAAAATGGAAACTAATTGAATCACAGTCTCGACAGCCGTGGCAGAGGAATAAGAATTACCAGAACCAACAACAAAAGCCCAAAGTTCCCGTGAAACCATTAGCAGAGAAACCGCCGGTACCTGTTTCTACAACCACGAAGAATATACTTAGCAACTTTCAATATCGAGAACAACCTGGGAAGGGAGATGATTCGAAAGAGGTTATAAATTTAGTATCATCGGAGACGGATAGTAGAATTGCCACGCCTTCCAATAGGCGGCGGCAGGGTTCATCAAAAGATGAGAAGAGTTCTGTAGAAGAAGATGTCTTTCTTGACGATTCTACTTCGGCAGATGTACCTTCAACGCCCTCAATGGGGTTTGATCCCACACAGAATGCGGATTTCAGACGACCATTTAAAGCAGTATCACCTGACGATCGTATAATTTGGGATACGAATAAGGATAGTCAACAACTACCTGAACCAGAGAGCGGCAAATTGGGAAAGAGGAAGAGGGGCGATAATGATGTTGGCAGGGCACAGAGTTCTTCACCTATACTAGGTCATTCTTCGCAAGCAGATTCTTTTCCTAGGCCGGGGCCAGAAGTCGAGGTATGGATGAAATTGGGTCAGACTAAGGACATTAAGCTCTCGCGAATTATGGAAAACGCATCTCCGCAATCATCGAGGGAAGGAAATACACCTAGAGGATTGACTAGATCAAGAAGTCTTGGCAATCCATTGAAACCCAAGAGACACCAACCCAGCAGGATAGGAAACAGTAGAGATATCGATACGCCGGGTTTGATGAGGAGATTGCAGGAAGATTATAAGGCAAAGGAAATTTCTAGTGGTCCTTCCAGCTCATCACCTCTTCCCGATAAAGGTCATTTTCAATTTGAAGGACCAAGTTCTCCATTGGGTGGAAAAGGAACTGAGAAGAGGACATCGCCCTTAAAAAGGAGACTCGAGCCGCCCTCCTCACCAAGTACGAATGTTGAATCTCATGTTGCTTTACCGAGTCCAAAAAGACCTGCCACTGCCGAGTCAGATTATGGTTCCGATGATGGTCTAGACGAAATTGGTGGAATGATACTTTCAGCTATTGAATCACAATCGCAGGCTCCTTCAGCTTCAATGTCACGACCACTACCGCCGAAAACATATGAATCGCCAATTAAGCCCAGAGCTCACTCTACGTATAAACCCCAGATTGTATCCAGAAGTCCTGACCCGTCGAAAGCATTGGAGGACGACAGTAGCGACGAATTTGGTGAAGGTTTGGACGATGATGATTTCGATGCTGCATTTGCAGGATCAGCTCCGGTAGATGATGTGGAACTTCCACCTTCAAGGCCGAGAGGTGCAGCAGCTAGAAAGGAGGAGTCCGATGATGAATATGGCGACGATATAGACGATTCAGATTTTGCGGCCGCAGAGATAGCAGCAACGCAGTCACTAAAACAATCAACAAATAGCTTAATGCCTGTACGTCCAAGAAATTCATAGCAATATATTATTAATTCAATGCTAAGAAATGTCTAGTCTATGGAAAAAGTTCGCGCAATCCAAAGATATCTTGTCACCATGATAGATGATAATCAGTATGAAGGTGTTAATGGTAGAATGCAACCAGAAAAGGTAAATTCTTATGAACTCTTGCCATGATTTGGCTAACCACCCACGAGATACTCTATCTTCAACCTGAACGCTCAAAAATCAAAAGAATGGTGTGTCTCAGAGGCACCTGGATTGATACTCCTGTGACCACAAAGGCTTTTGTTCATATCATTGGCAAGTTTGATGCACAGGGAATTTGTGTCATAGATGATAACTCTGGCTTGATCATTCTTCACCCGGACCATCTTATCTCTGCGCTTGTAGTAGCGGATTCTTTCGGGTGTACTCGTCGTGCAGTTCTTCAAGATAGGGTCAAAGCCACTGGTGAAGCATCTCCAGCTATGCTTTATGGAACAATCCTTCATGAGATATTTCAAGCTGCAATGCTTGTCAATCGCTGGGATAGGATGTTTCTTGGCGAGCTTATTGATAAGCTTGCTCAAAGACATCTCGAAGACTTGTATGTTATCAAGGTTGAAATACCCCAGGCTGTAGAACATCTACATAGTAAAATGGGAGAATTACAAGCATGGGCAGAATTGTTTGTGTCGTCCCAACCAAAGGTATGTAAAGCAATCCATTTTCCGTACCGAATACTAACCTGGTTTATCAGCCTGGAGCTCTAGTAAAAGCTGGAAATGGTGATGCTGTGGCTATGTGCGTCAGTAATCTTCTCGATGTTGAGGAGCACGTTTGGTCTCCAATGTATGGTCTCAAAGGTAACATTGATGCTACGGTGCAAATCACAATGAGAGACGAAAAAGGGCAAAGAACTCTCACCGCACCCTTTGAGGTCAAGACCGGCAAGAATCCCAGTGTTGCCAACCGTGCACAAACAGCGCTTTACAATCTTCTCATATCTGATCGATATGATGTTGAGATTGCTTATGGGATTTTGTACTACATGGAAACTTCGGAGACCATTAGAATTCCTGCCATTCGTCATGAGCTTCGCCACATGATCATGCAGCGGAATGAGCTCGCGTGTTTTGTCCGTGAAAAAAATGCTCAACTTCCACCAATGCTCAAAAAGGAGAACATGTGTGGAAGATGTTATGCGAAGAATACCTGTTTCATTTATCACAAGCTGGCTGATGATGGAACTGGAGAGACAAGCGGTATGAAGGAGAAGTTTGATGAAGTAGTTAAGCATCTTACTCCAAAGCATAAAGAGTTCTTCCTCAAATGGGATGATCTTCTTACGAAAGAAGAGAAAGATTCCTTGAAGTTTCGTCGAGAACTATGGACTATGTTGAGCTCAGAGCGAGAGAAGCTTGGTCGATGTTTCTCGAACGTTATAATTGAGGAAGGATCGGCATATGAAGATCAGAACAATGAGAAGATCAATCGATATCGATACACCATGATCAAACCAAAAAATACCGCAGCTCCCGGGTTCTCCTTCATGGACTCTCAGATAATAGTAGGAGAGCCAATTGTTATCTCAGATGAAAAGGGCCATTTTGCTCTCGCCAAAGGTTACGTTACGAACGTACGCAAGAACAGGATTACAGTCGCTGTTGATCGACGTTTACACAATGCCCGCATTAGACAACCCGGATTCGATGAGATTAATAATCAGGTCTTTGCTAGTATCATGGAAGTCGCTGCTGAAGGATCTACACCAGCTGACTCTATTGGGAAAATCAAAGAGGATCCAATTCTTTATCGTCTCGATAAAGATGAATTCAGTAATGGTCTTGCTACCGTTCGGAATAACCTCATCCAGATCATGACCGAAGGTCCATTTGGATCACGCGAAATCCGAAGTCTAGTCGTTGATCTCAATCCTCCTCAGTTCAAACCGCATTCCACTCAGTATACACTCAAAGATCGGTCTTGTATCAATGTGGATCAACGCCGTGCTATCGAAAAAGTCATGTCCGCACAGGATTATGCTTTAGTACTTGGTATGCCTGGTACTGGAAAAACTACAACTATTGCTCATATCATCCGAGCTCTTGTTTCGCAAGGGAAATCCGTTCTCCTCACTTCTTACACTCATACAGCTGTAGACAATATCCTTCTGAAACTTCGCGATGACTCAATCCCGATCCTGCGTCTAGGCACTAAAGCTAAGATCCACCCCGATGTTCAAGAATTTGCCAAACTCGCTGTGGATCCTAAAGAAACCATGGAAGAAATTCGAAGTGTCTGGCATGGCACACCAATTATTGCCACGAGTTGCCTCGGTATCAACCATCCCATCTTCAACGAACGTACATTCGACTACTGCATAGTAGATGAAGCTTCTCAAATTACACTACCCGTCTGTGTTGGTCCCATTCGCCTCGCTCGCACATTCATCCTTGTGGGAGACCACAACCAACTCCCCCCCTTGGTTAAAGACGAAGAAGCCCGCAAAGGAGGTCTAGATATCTCTCTCTTCAAATATCTCTCCGACGCCCATCCTCAAAGCGTCGTCTACCTCGAACATCAATACCGCATGAATGCCGACGTAATGGCTCTCTCCAATACACTCATTTACAACGGTCGTCTTAAATGCGGTAGCACTTCTGTCGCTAATCGTAAGATAGTTATTCCCGATATGGACGCTTTGAAAGCAAATCATCACACACCCAGTAGTATCTTACACAGTACACAAAAATCCATTTGTCTCGAACCGAAAAAGGGAAGATGCTGGTTACGCGATCTCTTGGATCCGGATGTTACCGTAGCATTCGTTGATACTGATGGTCTCGGCGAAATAGCGCGGGAAAGTGAAAAGGGAAATCGAACTGTAAATGACGTAGAAGCCAGAATCGTAACACAACTTGTTACTTCTCTCATAGCAGTCGGTATCGATCCTACGGAGATAGGGGTCATGACGCATTACCGCTCCCAGTTAGCTTTACTTAAAGATAGTCTCCGTACCGCTAAAGGTGTGGAGATGCATACTGCAGATAGGTTTCAAGGGAGAGACAAGGAGGTCATTGTGTTGAGCTTAGTGAGAAGTAATGAGGGTGGAAATATTGGGGAGTTGTTGAAGGATTGGAGGAGGATTAATGTGGCTTTCACCAGAGCGAAGACGAAGTTGTTAGTTGTGGGTAGTAGAGGGACGCTAAAAGGGAAGGGGGAGAATGATGGAGGAGACAGAAAGGAAGAAATGGTGAGCAGATTTGTTAGGTTGATGGAGGAGAAGAAGTGGGTTTATGAGTTGAAGGAAGAGCAGTTGATGGGACATTGGTGGGAGGTGTCGGGGACTGCGACGCAGGGGAGTGTAGGATTGTCGCAGTGGGTTAAGGTAGAGAAGGATATGGGGAAGAGAAAGAAACTTGATTTGATGGATATCGAGGGAGACGAAGATGGAGACAAGGAAAACGCGCGAATGGGCGTGATGCCCACCAAAAAAGAACCGATGGCTGCGAAGAGCAGTAAAGGAAAACACCAGCCTAAGAGGATTAAAGGAGGTTTAGCGATGAATAATGGGAATATAAGGCAAGGAAGCGTTTTGATGGATTTGGTTAACAATATGTCATGATTCATTGGAATTGGGAATAGGAATTTGTAGGATCATTATGATTAGGTGTCTTAGGATGGGGATGGTCTTATGGTTCATGTTTTGGTCTTGAGCATAGCGTTGAGGTGGGAAACAATGTTTAGCATATCTTTTTGTGTGGATAGTGATGGTGGTGTTTGGGTATATTCATAGGGTAGAAGAGAGAACGGACTTGGTTTTTCTCATAGCATGTACGAGATGCGTCTGCATTGTTTGGTCAATATGATTTGATACCTTTTTTTTGTTTGCAAATAGGATTGAAGGGAAAGATAATTTGAAATACCTAGTTAATGTGGAAATCATGTTTGAATATTTGGGAATCAAAACTTCAAGGTTTCGATTCGTGAGTAATCTGTGATGATTTCGCTGTTTGTTAGTTTGTGAATGTAGTAGGTATTAGGTTTTTAAATATGATTTGTGCACTTGAAATCTGTCGAGGGAATAGAACTCTGAGTGTACAGCGCTAGTCTTGAGTTGGTATTGATTTTGGTGTTGGTTTTGATGTTGATGTTGATGTTGATGTTGATGTTGATGTTGATATTGATTATTGATGTTGATATTGATTATTGATGTTGATATTGATTATTGATGTGTTAATAACTAAAAGGTTTGCAACTTATACTTGAATATCTGGTGTTTGATATATATCGTACCCATGCCCTCTCGATTCTCTGGATTACTTTTGCTAGTGGGTAAATATTTAATAGTAAATTGAGTATTTTGATTTACTTCATAAAAAGTGAGTAATCGTTTAGCGGATCGAATAAGGATTTGTTTGAACTTTGGGGGTCTTTGATTTTCGTGGATGGATGGGCAAGAGGACTGAATATTCAAGTCTTCCTTGTTGCTTTAACAGATGAATTTTGCTCTAATAGATTACATGTACCTCGCTGCGGGAGTGCTATGTTAGTTCAACGTCGTGGTGCAAGAAAAGGCAAGTGGGGATCAGGAATTGTGTAAAGTAATCTTACATTCATTCATTCATTCATTCATTTCACACAAATCAACGAACGCTATTTCAAGATCCAAATCCTGCACAAGTTATAACTCCATCTAGGAGAAATTCAATTCTATATTTTTGTGATATTGCCATTCTGCATGTATATTCAGAAGTAAGTAGATCGTACACATAAAACTGCGAACCCTACTAACTCCCATAAGCGAACCCCTTTTCTTTTATCTTTCTGATTGATTGATTGATTTCATTTACATCCACCTTCAGTCTAGACTATATAGGACGGCTAGGCCTCTAGAGGCTCTAGCAGATAACCTTTTTATTCTACAAAATGGATATATACAATTTAGGAAAATGAAAACAAATACTGGGGAATAGTACCCGCTTATTATACATATTGGCATATAATAAGAAAATTGTGAAAATCAAGAAATTATAAGGAAATCAAAGCTCTTCCTTATTTTTCCTAATTATTTCTTTTTCATTCTCTTTTCCTCTCTCTTCTTCTACTATTATCCTTCCTCTATCTCGTCTTGTATAAGAGATCTGGCTAGATGCCATGCTCTTATGGCGATTTTGGTGATATTGATGAACTTTAATGGTTAATTCAATACCTACTTTTGTATGGAATAGAAACTGTATAGTAATCTTAGATAATGGTATATTCTTGAATATTTCTTTTCTCTTTGCTTTATATATAGAACAACTAATAAGGAGATATTGTGGAGCCTTAATATAATTACATATACATTTGTTATTAGAGAGTTTGAATCAATATAAATAAGATTTGATATATCCATAACCTAATTTGAGTTGAAAATATATGCTAACAGTGTTTCGCTTGGTTTTGCTTGATAGCTTAATCTTCGATCCTATTTTCCATAAAAATAGCTTTGAATAGATCAAAAAGAATTGATTTGATCTGAGTTTTGTATTGATTGAGAATAGAAAGCTATTGATCTGAATTATACTCTTTGATTATTATACCTAGAAGTCCAAAACTTGTTTGTTTGAGATAGAATATATTGTGGTTGCTTTCTTTGTTAGTTTATCTACTAGCTTATTTCCTTCTATTAAAAGTATATCCTAAAACCCAATTTTAGAGATACTTCAGCTCCTTTTGCTTTAATAATTTCCGCTGTTTTGATTACTCGAATCTGATAGGCCTATCCAGAGTGATCTAATGGTTTGTTTTTAAGTGATATAGATCAGCTTGGTTATCCGCATATATCTTGAATTGTTGTTAATATAGGCAATTGTGCTAGTATATTCAATAGCTCTAATAATTCTGTAAAGCTCTTTATTATATATTAGTTGATTGCTATTAATATCAATTATTATTGATATGAAATTCGATTGTTTGGTTATATTACGATTATACCTATATTTATATCTATTCCTTTTTCAGTAGAAAAGGCATTAGTATAAATATAGATAGTATTCTTATCTTTGTAATTGAAAACAATATTGTAAAGAATAGTAATATCTTCTTTTGATGAATTGCTAATATTAATTCTAAAGGGAGTTTCCTTTTTTTTATGGGGGGAAATTAAAGTGAATAATCTTTTCAAATGATTTATTTATTTATTTATTTATTTATAGTGATTAACGTCTAATATCTGACCTCCCAAGGGGTATTCTAGACGTACTAAGGAGCGGGCCTACGGGCCGCTAGCGTTCCAGCCGCTCATAGTAGTGTAATGTTAGCTAATCAGGGGCTTGTTGCCTCTGGTATTCCCCCGCTCAGTACCGCTCATGGCGATCCTGCGGCTGTTCTGTCTAAGGGTTTGTGGTCCTGTTTCAGAGGGCCTTGTTTGTATGCCATCCGGGTGTCGGCGGATGATCAGGTCGATCGCTGTCGATCGGGAGAGCGCTCGGAGCGCTTATGGCTGTTCGGTGCGGGTCTTAGGTTGATTGGGTGGAGAGCTCATCCTCGGGGTATTGGAGCAGGTTGGAATTCGCGTAGTTCGCGTAGTTTTGAGCATATCCTAGTATAGAATCTGGATCTAGCGAGAAGGTCAGTAAAGCTATATGTGTTCGCAGGATGCGGTTGACATATGCTATCGCGTCCCACTTCGGATCGAAGTCGATTTGGTGCAAGCGGCCAGTCGCCGCGCGTCTGATTATTTGATTGAACATTGAAGAAAATGCAGCTGGGTCCTTTCTCAATCACGCATTGTACAGGTGTTCGTGCTATTTTCGTGATTGAATCTGATGTGATAGGCTGCAAAGTCACCGTGTCCGGTCCGCATCGCTATGAGTCTGTGTAGTACCCCGCGAGGGAGCTTGAGGCTTTCCGGCTCCGAGGTATCATATACCGGTTTCCATGCATTGTACGTTTCGGAGATTCAGGCCCCTTTTTTCCTTCCACCATCTGCTCTCGGAACGCCGACATTTGGCACGTAGGACAGAGGCGGGAGCTGCTGACTGTGGGGAGGCAGGATGGGCCAGGGTCAAGCGGCCCCAGCCGTGCCCTGATCAGCGAGGCGATCGGCTGCCTCGTTGCCCTCAATCTCAGTATGCCCAGGGGACCACTTGATTACAATATCGTAGTGTTGCATCGCTTGATGGCACTTGTGGTATGCCCATTGAGAGGAGGCAGCAGCGCTTCTCGCATTCCCCAGATTACTGAGGTGCTATCAATGCATAACCATATTCGTCCCTGGTAGGGCGATCAATGATGCTCAGGAGGCGTTCTAGTCCCCGCCACGCGCCGATCGCCTCAGCGTCAAAAACATGCGACTGTTCGCGTACACGGCCGTAGCCGCTATCGATCTGTTGCTTGCCGCGGTAGATTGCAAAGCCGTACCCCACGCGGTGACCGTGTTCGTCGTATTGTTCAGACCCGTCTGAAAACACAGAGTAGTCTTCTTGGGGGATTAAGTCCCACCATTCCTTGAATGCTTTCGCGGCGTCCTCTTTGTCCATACCATTCGTTGGATCGGTGCGGCACTCGGGAGAGAAGTGAGGCCGTAAGAGTCTGGGGCGCTCGGTGGCAGGGATCGCCCGTCCCATTCTTTGCAGTTTTGTATTGGGATCTTTTCAAATGAAATAGGATTGAGATCCTGATTTATTGATTCTCTAATTCTATTAAGTTGGATTGATTTATATTGTTTTCTTTGAGGAGTAGGGATTATTTCCAAATCGGTTTGATATTGAGCTGATATTTCTTTTTCGATATTGATTGGATGGTTTGGCGAGAGTTTAGTTAAACAAAATGCATATTGCCTAATATTTGAATCTAATCGAATTTTTGAGGGCTTTAGGCCTGTTTCTACTTTTATTGGAAGGATTGGGGGTTATTTGAAGATTCCTAATATCTTTCGAAGAACTAGGTTTTGAAGCGATTGCATCATATTCTTGAAATAAGTTTGATCTCTCTACCAAATCATTGATTTGTAATTAGCTATACTGGTTATATATGCTATATATAATTGTCTAAGGGCTTTAGGATTAAGGCCCTTTTCGGTATTAGCTAATCAAACCATTCGATGGAAGGCATCTTTCACTTGTGTGATTCGAATATTAATATATTGATCGAATTTGAGGTTCGAATCGAATCATATTCCCAGTTATCTAATGAGAAATTAGGGTACAATTATTTCCAATTGGGTAGTGTGATTGGATATTTTTTTGTCAATTTGGATAATGAAAAGTGTATTAGCTTTGTTTTTGCTAAATCGAATTGGATTGTATTTCTAAAATTGAGTTTATAGATTTGTTTTATAACTCTCTCTAAAGTTTTGATATTCTTTTTCCATATAGATGAATATATAATTAAAGCAATATCATCTATATAGAAAAGAAACTTGATTGAATTAGATAAAAAGAGCTTCTTGATATATATAAGGAAAAGAATTGGAGAAATCGGATTGCCTTGTGATATTCTGGTTGAAATTGGCTTGAAAGATTCGATTTGATTATTAAAAGATAGTTTCAATTGTCTTTATTGAAAAAATGAGGTTATCCAGGCTATCAGATTTGTGGGCAGTTTTAGTTTCTTACAAATATCTAATAGTCGATTTCT